TGACTCTGCCTTTAATCTTTGAGATGCCTCTGTTGTAATTTCCTGAGTATTTTCTGTTTCAGACCCCTGAGATATTTCCATCTTGTTCTTGATGTGTGGTTGTGCTTCAGTCTGACTTGATGTTTCCTCAGTTTTCTGAATGTTCGGTGTGTTTTCATCAAGTGTGACCCCACAAGTGTCTGTTTTTCCTTCAGCTGAGTGCTTTCTGTATCTAGTACTTCTTAAAGACTTAAATCTTTTCTCTGTTACCTGTACTTCAAGTTTTGTTCCCTTTTCAGGTTCTTCTGCTGTGACAGCCTCAGAATCCTTGTCAAAAGTCTGTTCATCTCTTGGTAGGGCCTTTGCTGGTGGGTCTTTACGAAGCCTCCTTGTTGTTCCATGAAGTTCTGCTGAAGGATCTTGTTTCACTTGCTCATTTCTAGCTCTTCGTCCTCTTTTAGGTGGAATCGGTGGTTCTGTGTTTTCTGCTCCTCTGGTCCTCTTCCTGGGTGACAGAAGCACTTCTTCACTGTCTTCTATACCACTGTCATTAGATTTGCTATCAGGTTTATTTACACCTGTTTGCAGCTGACAATTTTCCTTCTGAATGTTACCAGATCCTGTCTTTTTGGCTGGATCATCTCCAGTTTCTAACACGTCATCGACGCCACACTCTTGCAAAGGCTGTTTCATATTTGCAGGCTCTTCTGGTAGCACTGAAGAACCTTCAACACAAGACTCAAGAGTCTCACTTGGATGTTTCAAGTCCTTCAGTTCTTTCCTTTTACCTCTTCCTGGTCTTTTAGTAGCTCCATGTGGTTCCTGATCAGGGTGCTTTGAAACAACTTCTTGTAGGCAACGCTTAGTTCTCCTTCCTCTTCCTTTGTTTTCGGGTGTGATTGCTCCCATCTCCTCTTGGGTGCTGAAGGTATTCAGACTTTGCAATTCTTTTAAATTCACATCCTTTTCATTCTGTTTTGCTGCAGCAGGATGGACAGCCTTCCTTGGCCTGCCCCTTCTTGGTCTGTGGGGAGACTGCTCTGCACTAGTTGATTCCTTTTGTGGAGAATCATCACCTTGGGGAATATTTCCTTTATTTTCTAGAACAGGGCAAAGAGAACAAAGAAAAGTTAGACATTACTATGCCTGATCAAAGTATCTGTGAGTTTCCATTTTCCTAACAGTCACCTTTCTCAAACAAATCACACAGTATCTTAATTTAAAAATAAATAAATATTTTAACCAATTCCTACATGAAAAGATCAGGCTTCTGATCAAAGTTCTTTGGTTTATTTGGTAGGCATCATTCATTACTTTCAACTATGCTCTTGAAAGTCTTTGCAAAGATAATCTGAAGTGGAAACCTTAACATCAGGTTTTTCACACTAATATGTTCACCTGTCTCCAAGGGAAAAAGGGATCTTAGCTCAGGAATTAGCAGAGCTCTTTGAGAGCTTTAAACAAGATTTGAACTTCATGGTAACATGTATTACTTTTTGTGTTCATTATTCCTCTAAACAAAGTGTACTCACCATGTTTATGACTGGAATTAGAACAAGGAGGTGCAGAACCTTGCTGAGAATCCATTACTGATCTGACCTAAGGGAATAAACAACGATCAATAAATGCCTGCCTGACAGGACAGGAAATTATGGAGCCAACCAATACAAAATGTATAGTAATTACTTGTAAAAATTCTTGGCAAATCCTTTCCACTAAAAATGAAATCAACTGGTTTTATAACTCCTTCCATATATCTGACAAAAGCACACAAATGTAGCAAACAATTCTTGCCATCTAAAGTGGTGTAGCAGTTTTTAAAGTGAAAAACAAACACTGCAGAGTTAAAAAGTAACGTTAACTCTATTGGTTGACAAGTGTCTAAATGAGTGCTCAAAGGGAATTGGGGTACTGAAGAAAAACCTGAGTGTTTTGCAGCGTTTTATTGTAGTTCTAAGCACTAAGCCCAGTGACACTCAACATTTTATCTACAGAACATGAAAATTAGCACCAATAAAATTCACAAATGACACAAGTGATGAAGCTGTGAATTGTAAGGTCAGAATGGTCACTCAGAGCAACCTCAGGAGCTACTTACACAGGGTCCCTCCAAAGAAAATACATATTAACACAGGCAAAGGCAGCTGTCTATAAAATACTCCAAGATACATGAAGTCATACTAGGAGGTCTAAGAATTCATTTCAACCACAGGCTTTGAAGTCTCAACACATCCCTTTCAAAAGGTAAGGAAAGAATTTTACCTCCATTTCCTCCGGTGTATCAAACATTTCTGTCATTCCAACATAGTCCACTTCACCATCAGAAGGTTTCTGCCTGGGCTCTGCCATGAGCCTTTGCAGCCCCATAAAATCCTCAACTGGTTGATTCTTCTGTCTGGGAGACCTCACCAATCTGCTGATACCAAACATGTTTTCTATGGGTTGAACCTTTTCCTTTGCTGTCCTGAAAATGAGGCTGATCCCAACCATGTCTTCAACTGGTGGGTATTTCTGTTTTGGGGTTTTCTGGACTGAAGTAACACCTGCCATGCCTTTTACTGCTCCCCTCCTTTGTGCTGGAGTCTTCAGCAACCTCTTAAGGGCAATGTCATCTGTAATGGCTGCTGGCTCTTGCTGTGGGGTCCTCATGAGCTGCCTAATGCCAGACAGGTCCTCCACCGGTTCTGGCTTCCGCCGCGGGGTCCTCAGCAGCTGCTTGATGCCTGACATGACCTCAACTGGCTCCAACTTCTGCTTTGGAGTCCTTCTTTTCCTTCCTGATTTCACCAGAGATGCTTGTTTTTCTGGAATGATTGATAAACTATCCACATTAATATTATCTTGCACAGCTTTTCTTTTTTCAGGAGTTTTTGTGGATATTTCATCAAACACAGAGCTTAGAGATGACTTCTCTCTCAGCAAGTGACAAATGCCTGGACTCTCTTGTTTCTGTTCTGAAGCATCTGAACTATTTAAGGGTGACACCATCACCTCTCCTGAAATAACTAGTAGATTTATGTAATAAACAATAGTTCAACAGTTAAATTTCATACCAATGGAATGAATAAGAAAATCAGGCACACAGAAATTAACTGGAACTACAAAATTTTCTTTTGATACAAGATTAATATTAATGGGTTTATGGATGCTTTTATGGGTTATGGATGCT